ACAGGCCGCCAACACGCGCAGCCCCAGGAGATCCAGCTGCCGGGCGAGCTGGTTCCCGAAGCCCGAGTCCCAGTCCTGATGAGGACGTCCACAGTCTGCCTCTCCTGGCACCATTGATGGAGGAAGTAAAGCCCACGGAGGGCAGCCAGGTAGAGCCACATGGCTAGAAACTGCAGGAAACAAAATGCACTGACAAAGTGGAAGAGCCAAAGAAATCCTCGATCAGCTTCCCTTATACTTGAGTTCATATTTAAAAGTTGTTTTATTCTTGTTCCAGGAATCAAGTGTGTATACTGCTAGGGAGCTGTGATAGCAGTGACCAGATTGGCCTCTTCCCATGGTTGCCCTTTCTATGGGAACTCCCAGAGTCCAGGTGTCATGAGAAGCCACAGTGAAGCATAGAAACCTTATGACAAACCTTTGTACCTCTCTGTGCTTTGGGGAAACCGAGAGTACAGTGACAAAACTCCATCACTGGGTTCTGTCAAGATGGCAGACCAACAAGTGTAAGTAAGAAATCAGCAAGGCTTCTAATGATGTGCAAATCCGGCCTGTTTCTAAGATGCACCGGATGTGTTTGCCTTCCACCCAGGCCACTGTTGCCTCCTCCTATCCTCACACTCCCTTAATTTCAAGCTTCCTTCCAAGGCATATACAAATCCTCCCATAACAACCTCAGTCACAGCAAGCAGCTTTATTAGAAATTTAGCAAAGACTGCACTTTTCTTGGGAACATTCTGATGACACAGTTCTCATTTTCAGTATAACTTTAGAGGATGTCGCTTATGTAAGTGCTTCAATACTAGCCTTCCTTGATCCAAATATTTTATTAAAATTTCATTTGCTTCAGACTACGTGCTGCCTAATCTGTTCATAAAGGTGTGTGGAAACAGGAGTTTTATTGTGACTTTGAAAACAGAAAAATACCAATATCCTGGGAAACTCATCTTTTTCCCTCTACCCCTAAATTTTGTTTTATGCTGTTCAGGAGTTAATGGCTATGGCGTAGGGGAAGGTCTTATTCTCCCTCTGCTCTTCGAATAGAAAACTCTCTATATCGGGGGTGGTCAAACTGAGGTTCAGGAGCTGCCTGCGGCTCGTTGAATTTATTTTGCGGTGCCCGTGGTCACCCGCCTACCACTCACCACCTGCTGCCACCACTCAGGGGGCCCGCTTGCCATCCGCGGCTGCCCTCACGCATGGGCGCCTGCTTGCCGCTCCCAAACATCTCAGGTTGACCATATGCAGTCTGGCCACCGCTGCTCTATATGGAAAACGCTCCCTGTGACCTCTGTATAGCAGGGGTACAGAACCTGTCCCCCCCCCCCCCCCAGCTGTGGGACTGCATCTGCTATCATCTTTGATTATCGGTCACATTAGTTGAAGCTGATAAGAACTGTAGTTGAATTATCTCTGCAGGGCCAAATGCTACCCCTCCTGTTGGTTCGTGTGGATAGGAGAGGTACATATCCCTGTTATAAACCATCAAGGCGATCATTTTCTTGAACCTGCTGCATATTTCCAGGATATTCTGAGCAGATGGGAGTGCCTGCAGGCCCCTTGCCCCCTTCTTCTTCCATTTTCCTTAATAAACAAGCAAAATGAGTACTCATCCCATGGGCCAGCTCCCATGAATCATAGACCTAATTGCTAGCCCCACACAACTGGGATCCTTTTTTAAAGCAATGTAGGGCAATACTGGCCATTCTAATATGCTGTAAAAGAGGACTGCGGAGCTGTTCTAGGACACTGTCCCAGGGACCGCCTCCCCACTGCCCTGACCTGTAATAAGGTGATGTTGGGAGTGGGGTTCCCTCCTCCTTCCTTTCAACAGACAGGCAGTTAATTTTTGGGCAAAAAGCACTTTAATTTCACCATACAGCCAGCAGAATATTAGCCAGCAGAGGAAGACTCTCTGAGCATGCACAGACTGCTTTGTTGTACCCAAACTGGAAACGATTTTTGAGATTCCCTCCTCCATCCCTCTGGGAGTGTCCCCCCTGGAGATGGGTAGCCCTTCCCTCCTGTTGCCATGCAATGACGAGGCTCCCCTGGCTGCTCTCCCCGTCCCCTTCCAGCACCCCCAAACTCCGTCGGTTCCCATGGTCTGGTTGAACACCTGGAGACGGCAGCCTTGAGATAAGCACTTCCTCTCCACCATCTGTGTGTTTGCAGACCTTGTTTCCCCGGACTCCTCATTCTCATCCAAAGAGTCAGTGCCACCCTGGTCCTGGAAAGCGTGCCAGAAACCTCTGCCTCTTTCATTCTCAACAGCTGTGGACGGCAGGGCAATGTCAAAAATGATTTCAAACCCCAAAACAGTAATTAATACTTGTATGAAACAAGACTTAAGCTGTTAGCCGGTTTCTTTCTTCTTCTTTTTGCACAGGGGTTGGGCAGAACCTGACTGATGGCCTGGCACCCCCAAGTCCTGGATGACTCCCTTGTTTTCTATGGGCAGTTCTTGCTTTCGGGCCATAAAAAGCTGTCGTGTGAGGCTGCCTTCCCACAGCCGGTTTCTTCTAATGAGTCTCGTCAGGACAGCCAGCTTGTTAGAACTGAGCCAAGCATGAGTTCCTTAATTAATTAATTAATTAATTAATTCCAACGATTAGCTTTCACTTTTGTGTTTCTGACCATGAATAGTTGCAGCAAAGTTCTTTCTCCTCCTTTGGCTGTTCCCAGTGAAAGGATGCACAGCCTCTGTGCTGTTGAAGCAAATGGCCTTCACTATTCATTTACTTCCCCAAGCAAGTAGGTTTATTAAAGCCTTCACACCAGCAATTACAGGACAGAGAACTGAGGCTGAAAGAGTGTCCCCTGAAAGCAAAAAGCATCTCTCCCCACAGAGAAATGGCCCTTGCTCATGTAATATTCTCCTGCCATACAGAGTGAAATAGAAACCGTTCCAGTTGCTACAGAATGCAAACTACATTTTGTGATGCACCAGTTAACAAACACTTATTTTATCTGCATGCTTTGATGCTGATTTAAAACAGGCACAGACTCCATCCTGGGTTATCATGGCTAGGTGTGATTTATTACATCATGAGTCTTCTCAAGAATATGTCCTATACCAGGGGTCGGCAACCTTTAACACTCAAAGAGCCATGTGGACCCGTTTCCCACACAAAAGAAAAGACCGGGAGCCGCAAAACCCCTTTGACATCTAAAATGAAGATAAGACTGCACATATTGTTTTTTACCTTAATGCTATGTATTTCTTCATTATGATTTAGCTGCAGCTCTTGTTCAGTCACTAAAAACTGTTATTTTTAATCTTACATTATAAACTAGTAGGACTCCTTTCATATATTTTGAATAGGAGAACAGCTTCCTGATGAGTCAAAGTCAGTGCTAAAGGGCTACATGCATTAAATAGCAAACCCCATAAGTTCGTTAGCAGTAAAAGCAAATGAATCTACCCACGTACCATTAAACATTTGGTTTTCTTCAGAAACTTTTCTTCGATTTATCCATGGTTGGCCTACGGGAGGTGGCGGGGGGAGGAGCTCAGTAAATCGGCGCAGATCTGCAGATCAGGTTGTGCCGAGACATAGGTGTGTTTAGTGACTGATTAGCAGATAAACAGTCAAATGCTGTGAATAGTGGCAGGTCCCAAGCGCAACTTTTAACATTCAGATGAAGGAGATTACATTGGGACAAAAAGAATCTTTTCAGCAGCAATTCCGTGTAACATGAGAGCCTACAGGAAGCTTGTTTAGCAGAGGAATGTAGCTTTAGATTTATTTAACTAGCTGATTTACTTAACTAGCTAGCACTGCGTTCCTGAGTGGAGCTTCGAGCAGATCAGCGGCTGTGCCGTCGCGTGTTTTGAGCGACGGAGCCTCAGAAGAGGGGTTCAAGAGCCATGTGCAGCTCCAGCACCATGGGTTGCTGACCCTTGTCCTATACAATATGACAGTATGTGCCATTCTCAGCACATTGTTTTTGTTTGGTCGCAAAGTCGTGTCCGACCCATCGCGACCCCATGGAAAACATTCCTCCAGGCCTTCCTCTCCTCCACCATCCTCCGGAGTCCACCTAACCCCACACCCATTGCTCCAGTGATTCCATCCAGTCACCTCGTTCTCTGCCGTCCCCTTCTTCTTTTGTCCTCAATTGTTCCCAGAATTAGGCTCTTCTCCAGGGAGTCCTTCCTTCTCATTAGGTGGCCAAAGTATTTGAGTTTCATCTTCACTATCTGTCCTCCTAAAGAGCAGTCAGGGTTGATCTCCTCTAGGACTGACTGGTTTGATCACCTTGCGGTCCAAGGGACTCGTAGGAGTTTCCGACAGCACCACAATTCAAAGGCTTCAATTCTTCAGCGCTCTGCCTTCCTTATGGTCCAGCTTTCACAGCCATACATTGCAATTGGGAAAACCACAGCCTTGACTATACGCACTTTTTTTTGCACATTTTTATTAAGATTTTAAACTAAAAACTAAAAAAATAATCAATCATCAAATACATCGGACGTACTGGGTCAGCCCTCTATAACAAATCTTTTTTCAGCGCCAGGTAAAGACCTTTTTATTTAAACATCATTTTAATTGTTAAAATATATGATCTGGCCAGGGCAACTTCTTCTTCCTTCTCTTTTCTCCTCCTATATTATGTATTTACTTATTTTATACTGATAATTTTAATTTTATATTATTATGTTCGTAACTCAGTGTATTTTTTGTATTTTTGTATTTAATGGTAATTTATTATGTTCTATTGTATTTCAATGTATTTTATTGTGTTGTAAGCCGCCCCGAGGCTTCGGCAAGGGGCGGCATAGAAATGTTATAATAATAATAATCATCATCATCATCATCATATTCAAATTGATTTATAAAAATTTAAAGACACCTTTAAATCTAAGCCAAGTCCCGTTTCTCCAGCCACTCGTAAAAAAGTTTGATAGAAGTCAGCATCTTCTTTCTCCTTCAATAATAGAGTCAATCTGTCGACTATACGCACTTTTGTTGGCAGGGTGATATCGTGAGCAGAGCCGGCTGGAGCCGGGGGTCAGACTAGATGGTCCGGGAGGCTCCTTCTGACTTGCTCTGTTTCTATGTTTCTGTATACATAGTTATTTTCCCACCAGGCCTAGTTGACCAGAAAATATTCAATGCCTGAGCATCTTCTGCTTCTACGGCACCTTAGGGTGGGGCCTGTTGGTAGTTGGATGGGTCATTGTTCTGGACTGGGGTTCCTCACTCAACAAGGAGGTGCTGGTTGGTCAGGATTTCTGTGGTGGCTGTCATGATGGAGTAAGTTGTAGCCAGTATAGATTAGACAGTTGAAGGCTTAGGGCTATTTTTGGTGTAAATGTGTCTTCCATTCTTCCTTTGATTCAATAAACAATTCTAACATACCTCATACATTTTTCTTCTTATTATTTGCATGATAAGTAGGTGTTCAAGTTTTCTGACCAATAAGTAAACGTCACAAAATTATGCAATTGCTATCAAAACATTTAGGAAGTTTAAAGTTGCTTCTGAAAAGTGTGGTAAAATGAGAAAGCTCTTTGAATTAGCTGTGCACGGACAGTAGAGGCACAATCCCGTCAGGGTATGTGTAGTCCTTCACTTTTTGAGGATTGCACACATCCAATGGAAGCCAGGGTGTCCCCTGCCTCCCAACTCAGCTAGATGCCCGATTTTGGGCATCTGAGGGAGGTACCTTGAAGTGGGAGGGAAGAATACTTCATATCACAGTGGTGCCTCTTTCCTCACCTCTCCCTGGAATGGACCCTTTTCCCAAGGTCACATCTGCAACCTGGCAGCCCATGTAGCTCTTCTGGGGCCAGCTGTGGGGGGGGGGGGGGGGTGCTCTGAGGTCAGGCTCCCAAGTCCAACTTTGGAATTATTTCCTGAAATCTTCTGGTGGTCTCGATGCTGTCTAGATTGCACAGTTAAAGCAGGACCTTCTGGAAGTCTCTGATGGGAACATTCCCTGGCTGGGGTGGTCCCACCAAGGAATGCCCCTCTTGTCAGATGGCAACATACAGCCCTCGCCTGTAGATCTTCGTGCATGGGCCAAACTGTGCTCTCATATTGTTTTTATCTTCACATGTTATATATCCTTCAGTTACTGGGATGTTACAATGCTGGAAATTCTTCAGGGTTAGGCTTGAGGTCAGGGTTGGGCCAGATGCAGATTTCATGTACAATTTTTGTGTTTCAAACATTTGTGTGAAGAAGAAACGAGAAAGTAAGAACCAGCTTTGGCTAGGTGCCTGTTTGGCAGGTAAGGAAGCAGAAGGCACCTCGCAAGAATCCATATTCTTCAGCACTTGCATGATCTGGCTGTTGTAGAAACCATGATCAATAGAGAGCTTTCGCTGGTTTCACCCCACTGTAGGTTGTAATGTAGTCCACCCAAGAGGCTGGCAAGTAAGAGAGGGGGATGAAGATAAATTTGGAATCCCAGCCAGCAGCATAACGGGTGCGGGGATAACGGGAGATCAGCGCATGCTCCATGCAGTCTGTGACCAGATGCATATCTTTATTAATCCACCAGGAGCCAAAGAACATCTTGTGAACTGCATTGAGGGGGAGGGAAAAAAGATATCATTTTCACCTGTAAGTTGAATAGCCCTAAACTTCCATGGGAGAATGGAGACGTTGTTCTATTGCAGGAGAGGGGGACCTCAGGCCCAGGGCCAAACTGAGTACTCCTGTAGCCTGGTGACGGCTGTAAGCCATCCAGAGGTGCTGTGGCACAATTGGGCAGCATATAAATGTTTTAAATAATAATAATAGTCTGAATCGTGCACTCTGGAGTTCCTCAGAAGGCCTCTCCCACTTCTCCTGGGCCCTTTCCCCCAACCACTGATTTTTCATGGGCTTCCTGCCTTTTGTGCAGGTTTTTTTGCCATTCCAAAAGGTTAGAATGGCTCTCCCAAGACTTAGTGGCTGGCAGCAGGAGCTTTAAACTACAATAGGCTCCTACTTTTTGGTTTTCTTGGCCCACACCTTGCTTTTGGCTCTGTCCGCCCCTGGAATGTAGTCCCAAGCACTTCTCCAAGATTGAATTTTGCCCTCAGGCTGAAGGAACTTCCTATCTCTGCTCTGTCTGGGTTCAGACAACATGATAAGCCATGGGGTTTTTTCCTATGGTTAGTCTGTCATGTTGTCTGAATCCAGTTGTGGTATTTCACCATGATAAGATTGATCTTTAGAAACCATGATAAGTAACAATGATTTGCTCTATGTTTTTTTCCCATACCACTATGGCATGTTGTGTTGTCTGAAACCAGGACCATGGTTTCCATGGTCATGGTGTGAAGCTATCATAGAGTCCTTTGGAAAGAGAGGCAACTGCAAGAGCCACTTCAGCCATTCACCCTCTATATGTGGACCAGTGAGGAAGAGGCAGGTGACATAGGCAGGAAAGGATGCACCTGGGGATTGAATTTCAGACATAGTGCTCATGGGATACATGCCAACAGTGGGAGGACTGAGTGGCCTCCAGAATATTCGACCTCTGCCTGTGTTTGGCTCACAGTTGTTCAGATATTCCACTCCATAGAGTTCTCTGATCTCTGCAGGCAATTTCTTCCATAAGATGGTGGGTGGCAGGACTTTTATTCCGGTTTGAAAATTGCCTGGCTCAATGATGCTGACTTTGACCCCAAAAGGACGCAGTTCACGTCTAGAATGAAAAGCGAGAGGTAAAGAAGACCCATTTCCACCTGTCTGAGTCCCTGGCAGTGCTCTTAGTGTTCACAGGGCACCCGCTAGTAACTGAGCGCCACACTCTGTGCAAGCTGCCCAGCGCTGCACTCGCTGGCTGCACCGGGTGGGAAGGAAGGCTAGTCACCGGGCATGGCGCCTGGCGTGTCCTCGTGCAGCCCTCCTCTCCCATGCCCAGCCGCACCACTGCCAGCAGCAGCGGTCGGGGAAGAGGGCTGGTTGCTAGGAATGGTGTCCGGTGCACCCACACTCTGTGCCCCTCCTCTGGGTGCTGCAGCTGTGCTTCGGGAAGCTGAACCTGATGGAGAAGGTTGCTGGTTGTCCGAGAACATGCAAGGGCTTCCTCTTGGCCAGTTCACTTGGCAGGACTGGACTGAGCATGAGAAGTGCACTGAAGCCAGAGGGATGAATTCAAAAAGGGTTCATCCCAGCCCTAGAAAGAAATCCATCCATCAGTCCTATTTTCCCATATATGCTGAAGGATCCGAGTTGGCAGCGACAGGCTAAGAAAGAGATCTTGAGGTTGGGGTGAACAGCTTCTTGAAAATGTTGGCCTAGTGTGCGGCTGCTGTGAAAAAGGCCAATTCCCTATTAGGCAAAATTAGAAAAGGAATTGTAAATGAAGCTGCCAAATTCATATTTTGCTCTTGTACAAATTTGTGATGCAACCACACTTGAAATACTGTATGCAGTTCTGGTCATAGACCCACAAAAAGGATATGGTAGAGGAGGAAAAAAGAGAAGGGCAACTGGAATGACCAATTGATGTTTGGGAAGGCCCCTTCTCTTTCCCTAGGGCACCTCCCCTCGTCCCATCTTACCTTAAGATAAATCTCCCTCTTGCCTCTTCCTTCTCCTCACCAACCCTCTGCTCGCCCCAAACCCTTTCCTTTTCATTCCAAGAGTATCCTCTCCTGGTAACCCCTCATCCCAACATAGCCTTCCTATTGCAAGTTGAACTGTTGGCGCAGGTTTGCAGCCTCGTTTATGCTCCAGAACTTGCCTGAGTGAGATCTCAACCATCTCTCTACAGTACAAGCTATAAATGGCTTACTACCCTGTTTGTTTGTATGAAAGCACCCTTCTATTTGCAATTCTAATTAATGCAAATGCTTGACAAATGAATATTCCCCATTGTTTTTGAAGCTTGTATGGCATGTGTGTTGTTTTGGGTTCCCTCCTTCACCACCATCCTACTGCAAAAGTAAAAGGGTCCTTATTTAATGAATACATGTCTTGTGGAACATCCATAAGTTTGTACACATAGCTAAGAGGAGCACATTTTGAAACCTATAGCTTCTTGATGATTAATTGCATGGCAGTGCATTTATAACCCACCCAGGGGAGCTGACAGGTTCTCCTCTCCATTTTATCTCCACAGCAACAAGAGGTAGGTTAGGCCAAGAGTCAGTGACTGGCCCATGTGGATTTCATGGCTGAATGGGGACTAGAGCTTAGATCTGAGTCTCAGTCCAGCACTCTTAACCACTATACCATGCTGGATAATGACGGTGGATAAAATCTTCCGCATCATGCAACATCATTTCTGCAATGATGACTGGTGTGTGTTTCTTTTAAAAACACGAAGGGCACACTCTGAACCATTTGTTAATTCTTGGGCAGCCTCTGCTTCCAAAGGGAAGCTCAGTAAGAGGCAGGGAATGGTTCATTTTGAAATGGGGGTCCTTGATCTCAGACTTGCTTGGAAGACAGACTGACCTTGCCTTGGGAGTGTTCTACTTCTGATGCCTATTGAGTTGTTGCACTTATTAGAGTCTGTAATTAAGTTGTGATACCTCCATTGGTTAGAATGTGGAGGCAAAGAGTGACGAGATGGGCTTGGGCAGTGGTGGCCAGATATATTAAAATATGGCAACAAAGGTGAGTCGTGCACTGGAGTGCCGGCCCCCAACTTTCCTTCCCCATGGTAGCAGCAGAAGCAGTGGAAAAATCGTGCAAGGGTCATCCAAGAAGATGACTTACCTAAGGCTATCTGAGAACGCTTCCAGTGCAAATTTGGAAGGGCTGTAGCCTCCTCCACTGTAAGCCACTCTTCCAGCAATGCTGCTTACATTGACCACTCTTCCTTGGGCTTTCCTCAATAGGGGCAGCAAGTGCAGCGTCACATCAACGGCCCCGAGCAGGTTGACCTCCAGGACATTCTTAAAGTTATCCTTGGTCAGCCACTCATTGGGGCCCATGAAGAGGAGAATTCCTGCATTATTCACTAAGCCCCAGAGACCTGTGGAGAGAGACACAGTGAATTTTCAGGGATTCCTACTCCTCCATGCTTGCTTTCACCGGCATGAAACATGGATTGGTAGCATCTTCCCAGAACTTCATTCTTGAGAATTTCCCATCCTTTCCTCAAGAAGCTGAGGATTCAGTTGAGGAACTTTGTGTGTTAAGTATGTACCTCCAGTTGCCCTTCCTGGGACTGGAACACATTGATTTGTGTTCCAGAAAGAGCAGCAATGGAAGGGGGTTCTGGATTTTCTTTGGTGAGTTTCTGGGAAAGATGTGCTCTCACTGGCCAGTCTCCCAGAAGTCGCTGCACACCAGAATCTGTGCCAGTGCAGCTTTTCACCATAAATGCAAGGAGAGAGAGGTATGCTCTAGAGGAAGTGTAGACCAACAAAGACGGTTTGATTTCCCTTCTGTCTCTGTCCTGCACCCACATTTTGTGTGAGACCAGGCTGCTTCCAGACGTGAGGGTTCCTGATCGGGAAAGACCAAATGGTGGGTGGGTGCTTCCAAATGGATGGCTGCTGTTGCTGCCCATCAAAGGCACTGGGTGGGGTCAGTATGCTGGACTGCGGCAGTCCAGCAGCACTGGGTACCTCTTGGGTGGGGTGTATCATGCTTCCCCCTCCTCCACACTTGTCCTCCCACAGTATCCCATGAGACACTGCAGAAGCACCGAGGTTTCCGCCCTCCTCGCTGCTGCTTGCCAAGGGGCAGGGAGGGAGGACCAGAAGGCACTGGCAGTGCCCCCCCCCGCTTGAGAGGGGGCCTCATAAGCAGCAGTGAGGGCTGGCATTGCTGTCGTGGAGACTGGCAATGGTGCTGCCCTGTCTGCAGGCAGATCCCCCTGTCTGGGCCTGCAGCTGCTCCCTGCTGGAACCAGGGGGCTGAGCTGGTGGTACCCAGAAGCAAGTCAGGCAGAGCATGGCTTGGCTCCCCCCTGCTACCCCATGGCACTGCCGCCAAGGGATTGGCTGGGCTGCTGATGAGTCAGTGGAGCCGAACGTGGCCCCGTCACCCCATGCAGCTGCCGTCCTGTGCAGTGGTCGGGCAGGGTGGGGGGAAAGCTTCTGGCAGCTGCCCTGCCGCTTGGGCACTTTGGAGCAGCTCTAGGGGGCACTTGCCCGGCAGCTGCTCAGGAAGTGGCAGGGCTTTCTTGCTGCTCTTGCTGTTTGGATTACCCCTGGCCGTGTTATGCCCTCCAGGTCTGGGTGACATGGCATGCCCAAGCCGTGACCTGCCGGGGTGTTTTGCGAGCTCAGGAGCTGGGCTCATAAGCCACCCTGAATAAGCTGTGGTGTGTCTGCACAGCATGACAAACCCTCGTGATTTATAAGCTGCAGGGGGAGGGATGTGATCCCAGTCACCCTGCCACTGGCACATCTTCTCTACTTAATGGATCTTTTTGTGCTTCTCCCCATAGAGTTCCATGAATAGAGCGATTGCTCAATGAAAGCCTCATCTGGAAGTACTTGGTGTCTTTTCACAGTAAAAATATTTCTGTTGTGATCTTGAGCGTCTTGGTTGCTACTGAGTGTATGGGCAGAGCCATACTTTTATGCTTCTGCAGAATTGTGGCGGTTTCCTGAATAGGACAATGACGTTCAAGGGTGGAGCTGCAAAGAGGACATGGCAGGTAACTGACTGACTGTTGCTTTGCATTTGGAAGGAAGGAAGTGTGAGGAACCTTTTCAGGGGTGGGAATCTCTGGGCTCGGCAACCCAGATTCTGGCTGCTTTGCAGTGGCCCTGAACTGCTGAGTAGTTTGCCCTGCAGTTGTGGGGCACTTGCCAGCACTGAGCCCCATTCGCCGTGCAAGCAGTGCCCCTCTCCAGTACCAAATGCAGCCCTGTTTGGGTGGTTGCGAAGAAGGTTGCTGGTTGTACAACCAGGGGGGTGAGAGCACTGCTGGACTTGGCTCCCTTTGGAGGCCTGAGCCAAGCACAAGAGGAAGCCTGGGGATGCTTGGAGGGGCAGATTCTGATAGGGTTTGTCCCAACCCTCGTGTGGAAAGGCCAAGCTTCAAATGACGATGAGGGTGTTTGGATCCAGGGGTACGATGCAGGTGAGTATATCTGTTGCCTTGTAGGACTATTTGTTTGCCTCCACTTATGTGCATATGTATGAACAAAACAGATATTGCACGTCTTCAGCACCTTCTCACCCCAAGGAAGCTAAATTGGAAGCACTGCCCCTAAAGCCACTTGGAGAACAGAATATATGCTGACGTCATTGTCTTCATCGTTGTCGTCATCGTCGTCATTGTCATCAGCAGCTGCTGCTGCTGATCTTCAGGGATATGCTTTCTTGGGTGACCACCTTGGTCTGCATCATCATTGCCTGCCTGTATCCATCACTAAATTGGAGTCTAGGATGCCCAGATGTTCTAGCAGGGGGAAAAAAAATCACCCCCCTCAAAACGGAGTTTCACATCTCTCCCCATCTCACAAAGTTTATGCGTCCTTCCCACCACTTTGAGGAGGCACACACACTGACGGAGCACCCATGGGGCACCAATCACTGTTCCCCTTTCCTCCCAAATGTCTACAGGACCTCCAGCTCCTGGACCACGGTTTTCCAGCTGCCAGTCCTTGTTCGGTGCCTCCCCTCTGTTCAGCATTGTTCTCTATGGACTGTTCCGCAACAGGTGCAGCCAATAGGCTCGCAGAACAGTTGTGTCCTGTGCAGATCAAGGGGGAGCTCACGCCCCCTCTGACAGCACTACTTCTCTATAGCCAGCTGTTCCCCACAGGACAGCCAAGCTAAGTGGATGTCTGTGCTCTGGCAGGCTTCATGAGAGGCAGCCGGGCTAAAAGCGATCCTGTTTCTAGTCAAAAGCACAGGAGGCCTGCTGGAGTGACTTGTGCACAGACCCAGTCCTCTCTCTGCCTTTCAGGATCTACACCAGATCTAGGCAGCCTTTCGGGTCCATGAGCACGTGTGAAAATATGAGAAACGGTCCTGGGCACCACCATAAAATAGCTGCCACATGTGGTCATGGCTAGTCACAAAAGCAGTCATGGGATATTAAGATGGCAGCTCTCGACCTGGCAGGCTCCCTGTGGGTGGTGAAGGCCAGACTTCTTGCTTTGCCCAGCTAAGTGTGAGCAGGTGGGAGGAGCTCTGAGCCTTCTCCTTGAGGGGCACTTTAGAGGGCACATCCATCTCATAAGCTCTGTAGGAAAAGAATAGCCAGAGAACTGTCTTTGGGACATACCTCTGTGGCCCACTTGCTCCTTCACCCACTCAGTTGCTGCCGCCACACTCTCCGTGCTGGTGACGTCGAGAATGGTGGTTTTCAGCCGATCAGATGTGACCTCCTCCATCTTGTCTGCGCCCTCCTGCGTGAGACAGGCCGCCAACACGCGCAGCCCCAGGAGATCCAGCTGCCGGGCGAGCTGGTTCCCGAAGCCCGAGTCGCAGCCCGTGATGAGGACGTGTTTCTCCCTGAGGTTGTCCACGGTCTGCCTCTCCCGGTACCATCGTATCACGAAGTACGCCAGGACGGCCAGTGCCAGCCAGAGCCACATGCTTGCTGTGCACTGAGCAAGAGAAGGAAATGCAGGCTGGGGTTGGTCGTGCTTTTTATGCTTTCTCACCTGAATCTTCCCCACATGTGCCCGTTCGTCGCTGCCAGGTGGCAATGCAGCCTCAGGGGAATCGCTTGCATCATCCAGAAGGTGCAGGGGTCGTGTGCAGCAGTGGCAAGATGCGGCTGCACGTACACATCTGCACCACAGGTGCCCACCGGACCTTGGCCTACGCTAAAGCCAGTCCTGGCATGCAGTCCAGGTCTCCGCCTGGGATAAACTAGGGCTGCTCTGTTGCACAGTGAGCGGACGATTGTCCAGGTCCCGACTGAGGAGAGACTAGTGGCTCCCTGTTTGCAGAGGGGACTCCCTTCAGCGAAATGAGAGCCCAAGCTGTTTCTGCAGCGCGTCACGGTTAGAAGTGGCAGGCAGCGGCCTAAGTGGCCCTATGAGATGCACAGGACCATATTCGTAAACCCTAATGGGGCAGCAGATCTCAGGTCAGCTACGGAAAGGAACGGTGCTTAGGCGCGTTCTTCAGTTTTTAAAGTAATTGCTAGCATTTCCTTAGCAGTGTCCTTTTCAGAGCACTTCATTCCAGCAGTCCTTGCTGCCCCACTGAGGTGGTGCTTTCCTTTCTAACCAGAGGACTGAAAACGGGTCTCTTCCGTTCGTGAGGAAGGGAGGAGGGGGCTGTCGAAGTCCCCGCGGGAGACAGGGCAGCCAGTGGCCAGGGCTAAGTATGGGGGCCACCAACGCAGCAGCAAAGAATAGGTACCAGGAGGTTGCCGATCTGCACATTCACATGTGCTGTTTTGTACGTTAGTAGGCAGCGTTCAAATGGAATTCTGTAATGTAAATAGAAATGCAATCCTTCTGGTGTGCCTGCCAGGTCTGCTGTCCAGAGGCAAACTGTGGATGGGCAACTTCAAGGGCCACCCGACTGTCCCTTTGGGGGTTCCTCATCTCTAAACTGGACTTGGACATTCTGTCCTACATAAGATTGACCTCTACAGCAGTGGTTTTCAACTTTTTTATGGTTGGGGACCAGTGAAAATAGAAAAATTATTTTGGGGATTGCTGAGGCAGAAATAAAAAGCATTATATGCATAATACAGTATTTTGTGTATTAGTTTTTACATATAGTACCAAAAATGAAAATTCTCTGAAATAACCAGAAACTGAGCAATAAAAATGCTGATCAAAGAATAAAATACTGAAATTAAATGTAATCAAATATCTAGAAATGTTTAGATAGAAATATGTAATTCAAATAAGGGTACCGCGAAATGTGGTATTGCTTCTTTTAAAGAATACTTGATCAAAAGTTTGCAATAGCGAAGTACAAAATCAACATAAATGCAACACTATGCTCATATTCAAATACAATATTAACAGCAGAGCAATACAAAATCAATCAGAGTTACTTAATACAATAACATTCATAATGTTAAATAATGAAATGCAACACCCTCCCCACCCACAAAGCCCCATACACACCAGCACGGATTGGCTGAGAAAACACACTCAGCACAACCCTGCCTCAGCATTTCCCTTCCCAGCAGAAAACACAACAGAAAAAGGCCCGGTCTTTGGGTCCCTGCCCCGAGGATGGACCGGCATGATGTGGTGTGGCTCCCAGCTGGCTCCCATTGAGCTGCCGCTCCCCTCCCTGGTCTCCTCAGCCAAGGAAGAGGTGGGAATCTGCAGGGAGAGCACAGCTAGCCTGCACTGGTGTCTCTTCACAGCCACTCATTTTATTGTCACCGATTCATTTTCTGGGTTTTTGTGGTTATATTTCTTGCTGTACGCAGCTTTAAGTTTGATGGGCGGGACCTTCAAATCCCACCCATCAAAGAAGGGCAGGATTCGAAGGTCCAAATAAATCAATGCACCAAAAGAATATTGGGTTGTACCCAGAGGTGTGTCTCTCAAAGCCAAACCCCACATCCAAGTTGTGAGAGGTGGTAACAGGACAAAGAAAGGGATGGCTAGGGTCGGACAAAGTGTGGCGTAGGACCACTACGGCAGCAACGGCACCACCTAACAGCATCACAGAACAATGGTTGATGCCGCCGGAAGTGCAAGAACCAGAACTTTGTATCTGCCTTGACACCTGAAGTGGGAGGAGGAGGAGGAGGAGGAGGAGGTGTGAGGTTCTGAGGCAACACCTGGTGGCTGCAGGACCAGGCCCACAGTCAATTGTGGCCATCTGGACTGTTACGAGCACCACCTGGGAGCCCTGAGGGTAGAGCTATATAAGAACTGGCTCTTCCCTCCACATGCTGCCTCAGTAAGAAAGGTCTTTGATGTTGTTGGAGTGCTCTGTGTCTTCTGGAAACTGCCTGTCCTTTTGCTCCTGCCTCTGTTTCTGGACCCTGTCCAGCTTCCTGGTCTTTATCTGCTCCACTCCAATCCCAGATGCTGCTTCTCCTTGGTGTGTCTATCTGGCTTTTGAATCCTGACTAACTTTGACTACTCTTTGCTATTTGAACTGGCCTACCTTGCACTTCTGTTACCTGCCTAGATCTCTGGATTGCCTGACCATAATTTTGAATAGGCCTGTATAGCATACCGGTTGTCTGAGTCCTGGTGCCCAGATCTGATACCCAGCTGCCCATGCCCTGGACACTGACAGCAGGAGGAGGAGGAGACCCTTAACTCTCCACTCACCCACGAAACAGCCCTGCCAGTGTCCATCAAACCTGTCGGATCTCTTTGGGAGTCCCTCTGGAGCACATGCTTGGAGTGTACAGGGGTGCAAGGAGAGGGAGAATGCACAGTCCCAGAGCACCACTGGAGGCCTGCTGCCATGATGCGAAATGCACCCCCTTTTGCCTTGAGTTCTTATCTTCTTTAGAAGCATTTTGGTCTTCCTCTCTGTGCCTGCTGATATCTTCGTTGCTGTTCAGTTCTGCATTTTTCCCTGCATTTTCTTCATCTGCTTGGCGGAACGATTTGTTGACTGTCCTGTGATCCATTCATGACCATCATGTGGTCTACTGGTCAGGAGTGCTGGACCTGTTCTGAGTCTCCACTCAGACAAGAAGCCCCCCGAGTGCCTCCAGCCGGCCACTGCTGCTCAGCCCAACCCAACTCACAGAGCTGTCATTGTGAGGATGCAGTGGAGTGGAGGAGAACCTGGCAACCCTGGTTCCTTCCTCTCTTTTTTGGTTGCTGGTGAAACTGTGTGTTTATTTTTCCTGTTGTATGCTTCCTCCACCTTTCCTACATTTGTTGGCAATTCTTTTGGCTGCTGCAAATTGCATTCTGCTTTCCAGCTGGCAGAGCAGTGTTTTTGGTGGGCAGAAAAAATTGAATGCAAAAGCTAGTTGGCTTATTTCTAGCTGGGTGTACAACTTTTCCAAGGAACAAAATCCTATGCGAGTCCCACTAAAGATGCCAGAAGCTCATTTTGGTTAGCAAGAATGCAGCAAACCTGCATGAATAATTTGCTTGAATTTGAAGTGGGAAAGCCCCTCGTGCTCCAGGTTAACACTACCCTGTTAGTACTGTTCATTGAACAAGACCTTTGAATAATGCAGCAGCAATACAGGGATTGCACTACTCTGCCACAGGCTCTTTCAGGCAGGCTGAACCTTTTGATGGGCACGTTTTGACTGGGCTACCATACAGAAACCCCTCTAAGAATAACTGTACACTCCTTTGCATGTATGCAGCTGCAACCCCTGTACCAAGTGCCATCTATGTACCATATGCTGCACATAGCGTTTCCCATGTGAAAAGCTGTGTGTGAAGAATTGTATGTGTACACTGTGTGTTCCTTGAATGCACAGGTGCAGAAGAATCAGGTTTCTAAACATTTAAGAGTCCTGCAAAAGAGCGGATTTCAACTGCTGAAACTTCTTTCACCCTGCCTGACAAGGTTCACCTACCAAAAGTCCGTCTTCTGCTAGAGGACTGAAGAAGCCTTGACCTGTTTTAAAACAGCTGCCCTTGTCCTGGAGTGCCACCTATGTCCATTCTGGTCTGGCTCTCCCCTGCCCTTGTGAGGAACATTCCAGCTCTCCCAAGAGAGGGAGTAATACCTGATACTTAATAGATATACAAGTTATCTGCCCTCAGATACTAAGAAAGGTTTTCTTTTAAAAAAACCATTCTGTCAAGCTGTGAGGTGCCTACCCAACTTCCCTGGGCGGAAAGAGTGCCTAGGCTTCCAGCAGCTGCCTTCGCGAACACCCGTGCCCAGGCATAATGTGGAAAGGTTTGCTTACCTCAGAATGCAGCTCACCCTTCCCTTGCTGTCCAGTCTGTCTGAAAGAGGAACCCTCCGAGCTCAGAGTGGCAGGGCTATGAGTCCATTCTGTTAATAGATATCCAACTTCTCAGCCATCCCAGCCCAGAATCTGTACAGAGGTTCCGGACAGGCTGGGAAACAGATGTCAGCTCCCTCAGCAAACAAAGCAGAAAGTCCAAGGCACTGGTTGTGCGTATGCACAGGTGGTTCATGGACTTCGTTCCAAAATTTCCCCCCCAGTAAATTGCCTGCAACCATGTTCTGTGGAAGCAGCCATAACCAGTAGCAGGAGATTTGGCATCTCATCCAGGTCACAGGGCGATCGCTCCATTTGCTCGGAAAAGTCACAGAGCTTTGCAATTCATGTCATTTTCAGTCTGCTTCTGGTGCAAACCGCAAGTCCCCCGCCACAATCACAGCAAATCGAAACGTTCCTTGTTAATTAAAAAGTCTTTGAAAAGGGATTTGGCCAACAATTCCACTTTGTCGCTGCCTCATCATTTCTGTGTATGCTCATGATTGTTACGCACATGTTCAGCCAAAACTGGATAAGGTGCATCACAAGCCGCATCTTTCATTGCTGCAGTTCCACAGTTTCCATTGGGACAACAGTAGTAGTTCTGTGTGCTCACCCCTTTCTGAAGGGGCAGCTCTAATCAATTGCCAGTTGTGCTGTCCAGGAGGAAGGATTTCCCACCTGGCTACTTCCAAGATAAGGTTTCATTTTGTTACTGATCTTTGCCACCCTGAGCACCATTCAGAAGACAGAGTATTCATACACTTTATAGTGTTGAAACACTTTCTCCCCCACTTCCAAGTGAAATTAGAGCTGGAATCCCATCCTCCAGGGTTTCTGTTAGGGCTTTCGAAAGTCATTTGGGGTCCAAGAACTGCCCCAGGAGCTAGAAGCTTTGTGAATACCTTTGTTGCATCCTGTTTGGATTGCTGCAGTGCGCTCTTCATGGGGTTGCCCCATGCTGCTGAGCAGGGCCAGTTACAGGCAGCATCCAGTGCCCGCGTTAAAGCAGTTTTACTGGCGACTGTGCTGTTTGCCGGCAGAATTCACAACCTGGTGGCCTTCAGAGGCATTTGGACCACTTATACTCTTTTTGGCACCAGATCAAAAACGTTTTCTTGAAACGGCATTTTAAAATCAATAGCTTTTAACGTTCAGTCACTCTTGTTTTGTGATTTACTGTTTATTGTTTTATACATTATTCTGTTTTAATTTATTTATTGGAAATTGTTGTTGTTTTAAATTGCTCTTTTAAACCACTGTAAGCCATCCTGAGATTTTTATATAATAGGATGGCATATAAAAGCTGTCAATAAATAAATAAATTCCCAGAATTCCCATCCAGCAGGGCCATTGACTGTGCTTGGTTGTAACCCTGCAGATATTTATTGCATTTTAACATGTAGCTATGTTTAGTTGTCAAGTCGTGTCTTACCTTTCACACCCAATACTGAAGGCAAAAGGGCCAATACATTACAGGCAGTGACATAACTAAAGCCAGAGCTTTGGGTGACTAGAAAATAGAGAGTATTGGCTAATTCACATGAACCATGGTGTTTGTAGCATTGTTCTCGCTATCCTTCCTCGCCTGCCCCCTCCCTCCAAAGAAGTCTGCTTTATTATGAGCTCACCTAGAGCACAGAATACACATTCCCAAACAGGCAAATCTAGGGAGCGCTTCCTGAGCACAAAGGGCCGGTCCTCTTGATCCCGCTGTGTTAGCAACCTGGGGAAGGAGAGACTTTAAACTCTCCTCTGCTTCTGCAAATCAATTCTCCACAGCACAGAGGTTGCGTTAAACTTAAACAAGATATCAGGATTTTGTCTAGCATGAAGTGGAGAACACACAGTTCAGGGTTACATTTCAGTAACATTTTAATTCAGTTCATGGCATTTTAGCTTCAAATGCTAGCAATAGTAAAGGAATCAGGCTGACTGGGGACATGCCCCAAAATGAGGATTTGGTTGACCTACGGGTATGTATAGGTCAGAAACTGTATACATAATACAGTATTATGTATTATGTTACAGTAGCCAGTAACAAATATCCCTTACAGTTTATGCTACAACCCTTGAGTGGAATTTACTCTTGAGTAGTAGTCAGGATTGCATGAGTTGTTTACTTTTCCCGTAGTTGTTTTGACTCTTGAGCTGCCGCTGCCTGGACTTGCATAGTTTTGAGCTCTTCCTGGGTTTGAAATCTCATTTAAAAGAGGTAGAGGCGGTTTCTCATTGTCTTGCAGTCTTGGACCAGTTCCACAGATCTCCCCTACTGGTTCATTGTAGCTAATGTGAACATTAAATTGGCCTTGCGGGAGAAAGAAGGACATGCAGCTTCTCTGATTTGCTGAAAATGCTAAAAGCAATATTACCGGTTGCAATTTCTGCATATATTCTGAGCCCAGACCCTGATCCATTTCTTTGGTTTTTGTTCATTGTAAGCCGTCCAGAGACTTTTAGTAATGGGATGGCATAGAAAGACTTTAAATAAATAAAAGCAAAATAAATCCATGGGGAAAATGTCCTGCATGCTTGTAATAAACAATGCCCTGTGAGCTGATTTGCATTTTTGTGGCCAGGGCCGTCCCTCCCATGAGGAAGGAAGCATCTCCCGCAGGGGAGATGGGCGGGGGCATGGATCATGCCTGGTCTCACTGAGGGCTCTTCCTGGCACTGCTGCAGCACTAGTTCCACTTGCCCATTGCGGCAAATGCTACAGGGGGAGAAGAGCGAGCAGGGCTCCCGGGGGGGCAGCTGACTGCCCGGCATCTCAGGCTCTGAGCCTGCTCATAACGTGAGAGATCAGGCAGGCTGGTTCTCAGGGAGGCCCTTGCCCAACCTCCCACTTTGTGAGATGGCTTAGAGCGAGCAATTGGGGTTGTGGGCAGGCACTCTGGAGAGGCTGCCTGCCCCCTAATCTTCTGCTCTGGAAGAGTCCCTGGAGCAAAGGTGGGGTGAACTGCGTTGTGGCACCAAGTGGCTGACGTGCCCTCCGGAGGGGCCACCTGCCTGATCTCTCACTCTGGAAGTGTTTACAGGAAGGGACATCAGGTAGGCACCTTTCCAGAGGTGCCTGGGCCCAAACAGGGCTTTCCACCAGGTGTGGCTTTCAGGCCTGGGTGTCTCTCTGGCCAGGTCACTTCCTGCACGCTCAGGAGAGGTGAGGGGAGAGGAGGAGCGCATGCCGGCTGAGCCTGCTGCTGTGTCATGGCACTGGAACACCTTGCTGCCCTCTGGTCAGCTCAGCCCTCTGGAATGCGCTCCCCAGAGAGGTCCGCCTGGCGCCGTCGTTATTTGTTTTTCGGCGCCAGGCGAAGACCTTTTTATTCAAATGTCATTTTATTTGTTAATAGTATTTATCCATTTTATTCTTTGGCCAGGGCGACTTAATTTATACTGTTAATTTATATTATTCTATGGAAGTTTATTTATGGATGTGAGCCGCCCCGGGGCTTCGGCGAATGGGGCGGCATAGAAGTCTCCTAAATAAATAAATAAATAAATAAATAAATAATAAACCCTTAATCTCATTTAAGAGGGAAACAGCCATTATTTTGTGTCTCTCCACATTTCCTCTCTTGGTATTCTGAACATTTTACTTTGTGAATTCTGTGTTACTCAGATGAAAAGGTTTGACTGGATCCTGCCCTCAAGTCTTTGGATGTTGCATGTAAATGCCAGACAAATAGGCAATAAGACTTCTCTCATCCCCAGCGAGGATTGCATTTGCTCAACATTGGAAAAGTGAAGAACTACCCATTGATGAACTGATTCTAAAAAAGATTCTGGACTGTGCAGAAATGGATAGATTGACTTTATCATTGAAGGAGAAGGAAGATACTGACTTCTATCAAACTTGGGACTCTTTTTATTATTGACTAGAGAAACGGGACTTCACATAGATTTAACTATGTTTTTAAGTTATCATAAATGGAAAAAGAAGGGTGTGGGGGCCCGATGTTTTTGATGATGGATGGTGCTGGCTTTTGGGGTAAGGGTCAGGCGAAGGTCAGGACTGGGGAGACCTTTTCTGCATGGAAGTTCAGAGGCCTGCAAAGAGTTGCATAAGGGCTGACCGAGTGAATTCAGAGCAAGAATACCCAGAGTGCTCCTTTTGCCTACGTTTCCTGAATATTCCTGGGTGTGTGTGGGGAACTTAAGGTTGGAAAAGCAGGGTCTCCATGCATGGCATGCCCCATGGAAATAGCCTTCACTGGGAAGCAAAATGAGCAGCAAAAACGAGAAGCTTCGTGCTGCCAGTTGACGTACTTCCTGCCTCAGTAGGGGAGGTACCTGTGAGGAAGGGTCAGGGTCAGGCCTAGGAAGCAGCAGAGTCCAGTGTGGTTCAGCAGTCCTGGCAGCAGCCTAGAATGGGCAAGGAAAGTGGGAAGATTCTTTGCGCTGTCACTGAAGAGGTGTGTGAACTGTGTTTCTCTGTGCACGTCTTGAAATAGCCTATTTTGAGCAGTCAGGAACACCCCGAGTGCTGCCTGGGTGCATGTTGTCTGAACTGTTCAGGATTACACCTGTTCGATTAGGTTGGGGTTATAGCTTCAGGTTAGGGTAGGGCTTGGAAAGCCTTGGCTCTTCTGCATTTAGAGAGGCCTGGAAATGGACTCAGTTAGGCAGAAATGTCACTGAATTCAGCCAGTCAACAGCTTAGGGTGAGCCCAGGTGGAGCCCAGACCCCACGTCAAAAGGAGCCTGAGATGAGACTTACAGCCAAACCAGCTTTATTCTAGTGCACTACAGAATAAGGGGAGACGAAAGGGGATACGCAGCCCAAAGCAGTGTCTCGAAAGTTGCACCTGGTACATGCATTTGATACCCTACGTAAGCGATTAGGTCACCTAATACAGCTCTAATGCATCAGTACAGCGATGTAGCCTCACCCCCACTGCTGTTAGCTTCAGAGAGTCCTTTCTTCCCTCAAGGACTGGAAACTTCCCTTGTCTCTCTCTTATCTTCACACAGGCTTGCCATGTTCTTACTCCCTGCACATTTGCAAAGTCTACAGCGGCTATGACAGGTTCTCACTGTCCCTTTGATTACTGTATTCGTGGTCAGGCTAGCTTGCTAGCTGTTTGTTACACAAAGTCCATTTTGTTCTTATCCCCCATTCCTTCTGGGACAATATAACTGTGGTGTTTTTCCTATGTGGTCTCCCTCTGGCCAACTCTTTTTGGGGTCTTCCTCTGGCCAACTACTTTCGGGGTGTTTTGGGGTGCTGCG